AATATGCGGCTGGGCTTATTAGCCGTGGGCTTAATAGCCGGCGACTACTGTAAAGTACTTCGAGATGAGACGTTCTGTACCTTACAGCCTGACAACTGAGTCTCCACTGTTCCTACGCGCTGAGCTGCCGCTGTAAATCCGTCGTTTCTGTTATTTTATTTGATGACGGATTCGCGACGGATTTGGAAACGTCAGGCGAACAGAATCCTTGTTCAGGCGACTTAATCTGCTTTTTCTCAATACCCAAGGTTCTCGTCTGTGCGCACAAAATACACGCCAACATAAGCACCAGGATTTCACACAAAAGAGCTGAGCGACTCACATCTCGCATGTGGGAGAGCGCTAGATGTCACGTTGAGAAGGAGCCATTGCAGCCTGACTGTCAGACCCCACTGGTCGGCCACTCCGTACAAACACACATTGGGCTGACTGGGGGGTCTAACTGCAATCGTCAGTTGACAATCTTTCAAGCCACGCTGCTTAGCGCACCGTGGTAGCCTCAGATCAAGCATGCGGCAGAGAGATTATATAGAGACGGAGCTGCCCTAATGTAGACGTACTGACGTGCAAGTTACCACTGTGCCCCTTCCTGAGATAATGCGCGACTTCGTCGCTTGCAGCCCGCAAAGTTACGTCAGCTTCATTTTCAGTTAGGTTTTGTTGAAGGCTCCTTCATTATCCGCTGCCAATGGACGCGCTGAATGGCATACGTGCAAACTTCGTGTTGGCTGGCTTGCCTGGTTAATTGCCGAGAACGTTCTTTGTAAAACTTTCCTATGACCATAGTAACAAAGTAAAGCTGGGTTGAAGGAAACGTCAAAACAAAGTTGGCAAACACCAAAAAAGTTGCTAAAGCAGGGTATAGTGCAGCAAACTTGAAATAAATTTCTTATGGAAGACACTACATGGTGCATCGAATGCCAAAGATCGGCCTCTAACAGAGAAAAAAAACGAAAGACAAACGCGAATATCATCATTCGTAACTACCTATGCAAGCGTTACTGATGCAGAGCACGTTCGTGTGCAAAAATCTAGAGTTTGCGGAAGAACGTGACGCAAGAGCATCAAGTATATCCTTTTTGTTAATCAAAAGTGAATCCACCGTGCCTTTATTCATCACAGACTTTAGCACATCGGTGTAGCAGACAGAAGTGGTGTTTCGACACATTCTGCACCTAGGGGTAACGGTCACCAAGGCTGAGTAAGGCTTGTTTTGAAAATGAAGATTCACCAACGCAGTTCTCGCTTTTGGTTGTAGGTTGCTAGCAGAATATCAGGCGACAAATATCTCGAACGTTAATCGAGCCGGTATGCATTTCCCAAATATGTATTAGTGTCGTTAGAGTTAACAGTTGTTTGTGCCTTGGTTCCTTCAACATTACAGCAGGCCCACAGTGCTGTGAGACATATGGTGGATACCGTCGGCAACGACGGTCTAACTGTGGGATAGCACGCAGTAGTGTCCTTAGTGAAATCGGTAGTCATTAGACCCTGTAATGGCCACGCTGTTCGTCGTTCAAGGCGGCTTCTTTGAAAAGAATGAGAAGCAACGCATGAACAGCCAGCAGTCAGATTAAAAAAGAAGAATGGATGAACAGAAATACCCACCTCTGGAAGACCCTCGGGATCATACTGCTGACAGTAACTGAGATAGTTCATGTTTAACCGCTCCTCCGGTTCGGCCATCATCGCCATACGTAACCAATTCACCCTTGTTTGTAGGTATCTATTGAAAATTTCTCGCTTTTTTTCAATTTCTCTCTGAATGGTGTCGCGCAATTCCTCGCAAATTTCTTCCACGAAAGACTCAATGTTTTCATTTTTTGTTCGCCGAACAGCGCGCGGCATACTTCTGTCTAAAAGGAAAGAGACCAACATATGCAATGTTCAAATGCAGAATATGGTAAAGGAAAAAGCATTGGATTAATTCTCTTGTGAAATATCCCCCAGTATGCATACTCTCGTGAGATAGATGTATAAGTGACTGAGAAGGACGCTCAAATAGTGTTCTGGGCTAACCAGTTAGGAGTTCCTCTAATTATATAACGCCGGCAATTCGGAGAACAGACAATTGAGAGTACAGATCACGCTACCTGGGATTACTAATAAGACACGGAGTCATAAGCTGGAACAGCTAACAGTCCCATTCGGAAGCGTGCAGCATGAACATCTTCCGCCTCCCAGGCACAAAGAAGAAACTGTGGATGCACCTTAGTTCGGGCCGCTGACAATTTCTGAAAGATGTCTTTGTCGGGAGGCCAGATCAGTGCAACATACCATTAGCAGGGTCCCCGATCGGTGAGGCAGCTGGAAGGATTCTCGGATCTACCCAGCGATGTAGCAGTGCACTGAGCCTGTCCAAGAAACTTAGTTATCTGCGTGGACACAACACTGATTCCTGCTGCTAGAAGTCACAAAAAACTGCTCGGATGAAGTGCCGACACATGGACATACGCAAACATCAGCAACACCCGGAAACCCTGCAGAGTTATTCATCAAATCAATGCAAGCTCCCATGCACTTAGTGACTGTTCAGTATGCTAGTAGCAGCCTTGTTACTGACAATTCGGCCGAGCGAGCACTGGCATGAACACTTCGACCACCGAAACTTCGAGGACCAACCCCCTACCACCAAAACTGCCTGAATTTTTAGAGGAGTTTCAGCCGTATGCAGCCTATTTAGTGTTAAGTAACCTGCAGGAAATCGCCGATTCAACAAAAGGTGGCATAACCGCTAAGGTCTACATGTCTCGTATACGTGTCCGTCGTTCCAACTCCATGAGATGTTGGAACAGGTATGGGTAGCTGAGCTGATGCTTGCTGATATGGATCCAGCTATTTTTGTGCCTGTCTTCAAGAAGAGAGACAAGACAACGCGCAAGACCTATTACGGTATAAATTCCCTCCACACAAGCATTCTCCGGCGGTTTCTGACAACGAGTGAATCTAGGGCAAGACCAAGCCAAGCAAGGTTCGGCGCCGAACGTGGATGTACGGACCTAAGATTAGAACTGCAACGCAATTTAAGCTCCGCTATGGCCACCAGTAATCGGCCGCAGCGCTCGCCTCTGTTCACTGTCGGCCTCTGCGGTCGTTGATGGAACAAGACAGGTGTGCCAATGAAAGTCATCGTCATTAGCAAGGCCTGATATTGCTTCAAGATCACGTAAGTTCTAGTCCGTAGCAACCCCCCAGTCGCTATACGTGTCTGGCAGTCAAAAAGTTCACATTCTGTCACCTGTACTGTTTAATTAGGGAACGGCCCTATGTGGTTTGAAAAGTGTCTAATTTGCACTTCGGCACCTGCTGACTGGCCTCGTCAACGCTAAATATTCCGCCTTGTTAGCATTAAGTAATGATGACCAACGAAATTTAGTGTCAAGGGTTGAGGATCGTTTGATCAACTGGTTGATCTATCACTACCGGGACGACTAGTCTTTTCGCACTGCACTTCTGACC